GAGAGAGAGAGAGAGAGAGAGAGAGAGAGAGAGAGAGAGAGAGAGAGAGAGAGAGAGAGAGAGAGAGAGAGAGAGAGAGAGAGAGAAACAGACATGAAAGAATGAGACGCCATCACCGAGTGTTGCTGTGCGCCACGGTGTAGCCGTGGCGGGGTCCACTTGTAATAAATAAATATATTAATTTGACAAAAGAGTAAAATACTGTGTTACCTACCGAGTTCAGGAAGCGACAATGGCGCCGACGAGACCAAAAAAAGACAAAAAAAATTGACAGGGTTATCGGAATTGCGGTTCAACTTCGATTCATCAACAAAAATATTGCTGCTCTGTCACCTTCTGGGTTCCTTGCCTTTCTGTCCTCTCATCTGCGCTCTTCTCTGCCTGATGTCTTACTTATCATGGGACTCTTCCAGAGCTTTAGTCAGCTATCGCAGAACCTCGTACCCAAGCTATCACTTTATGATGGTTTGGATGTCGCCTTTTCCCACCCTCTTTTTCGATGCAAACTCTCCTCCTCCATCTATTATGGGTTGCGGTGCAGGTTGAGTTGCGTAAGCGCAGTCTGACTTCTGCTTGCTTCCCGGTCATCCTGTGAACGGCATGTGTTTGCTGAATGGTTGTTTTCGTTACGTGATGTGATGGCCGTCGCTGTATTCCGGAGTACATGATGCATGCCTTCATCAATGGAACTGGTGTCGGACGTAAAACATCCTCAATACCATACTAGAACTGCTGCATATGCTGTGTGGCAAAAAAAAACTAGAATCAGATTTACACTTTTTGATATCACCCTGTGCGCAGCATATGCGTTCTTGCTGAACGGTTGTCTTTGTTACATGATGGGCATGGGCATTGCTGTACTCGAGCCCCGACATCTCCTCCCTGCACACCTGTGAAACAACCCTGTGCGCAGCATATGCGTTCTTGCTGAGCGGTTGTCTTTGTTACATGATGGGCATGGGCATTGCTGTACTCGAGCCCCGACATCTCCTCCCTGCACACCTGTGAAACAACGAGGAAGAAAGACCCCATCGCTTGCCTGCTATTCCCTGCATGTTGGTGTTTGTCATCCATCAACGTCTTAAAATGTTGGGTGGAGTTTGATCTGTACAAGGCGTCAAACGCACCTATTGTTTCCAGCCCCCACATCTCCTCCCTGCGCGCCTGTGAAACAATCAGGAAGAAAGACCTCATCGCTTGCCTGCCTGCTATTCCCTGCATGTTGGTGCTTGTCATCCATCAACGTCTTAAAATGTTGGGTGGAGTTTGATCTGTACGAGGCGTCAAACGCACCTGTAGTTTGGATAACCCTCTGTGTTGTCGTGGAGCTTAGGCAGGCGAGAGCAGGGTGACGTTTTTATTACTTCTTATTACCCTTTAACCATCGATTCGAAGGCCTTGGTGAGCCGACATATCGGTTGAAAGTGTGTGATTTGCACTTCACCCGTCATGTCCCCCACCTACCTCACATTGAATCGTTTACCCCTGCCAGTATATAGCCAGATGCAGTACTCGCAGCTGTGAGCTGGGGGCGTTTAAATAGTGAGATGGCTGCTGCTGGAAATCTGTCGATCTGTCGTTCCATACAGAAATGGATGATTTCTGGTATAGCAAGAGATCGTTTTCTTGTACTTTGCTCCAAGAAGAGGTAATTCATGCTCTTGTGTCCGTCTCTCCCGAGCTGACAGTCGACCAAACTTCTCCAGCGTTTGTAGTGGTATAGTTTGCATGCCCGAGATGCTTGTACCTCACCTATCGTATTGCTGAATCCACCTTGGCTGTTCGGTTGTTAACCCGAGCTACGTCGTTCATTTGATTATTCATGTGTCAGCCTCAGTGAGCTAGGACATCTCCACCTACACTGCTTATTAGTGTCTCTCTCACTCTGCCCACTCCCATTTTTTTTGAACCTTCGACGTATATGAATATATATATATATATATATTCCCAAAGCAACGTCTATGTGCTAGGTCAATCAGCCATCCCTGGAGAAGTTCCAGCAAAACCCAAGTTCAGGCCTGCAAATTTGTGCCAATGCCCTCCCCCGAACGTTACTAATGTGCGATAGATGTTTTGCACATTTGATGCGGACTATTTATGGTGGTGAGTTGTTACGCAAAAAAAAAAAAAAAAAAAAAAAAAAAAAAAAAACTCCAAACTCTCATCACCTGTGCATGTTGTTCACCGACAGACCTGCTCCTGTTTCTCATTTCATTTGTGGGACATTGTGAGTGTACAATATGTGCCATCTCTGTCATGGTCATTTGTGGGACATTGTGGGTGTACAGTATGCACACCGTCACTGTCATGGTGAGCACGGAAGGGGATTCAGAAACCATGGGAAGCTGTATCTCTGTTCCTCGCCTCACTGAAAACTGCACGATATGTCTTTTACCTGAAGCACTTGCATGCTCCTGATAGTGTGATGCTTGTCCGAAAGCACTAGCCTGTGCAGATTGACGTCTGTCATACTTCGTTCTGGAGTGCCAGCCCCCAGAGATGCCCTTGGCAGCCATGGCAATCATCAAGTACAGGAAAGGAGGGTTGTGCAGCAGTCTTAATTGGTGGAGAATTTGATCATGTTAATTGGCCCAGAATTTGATCTTGTATCTTTAGTTAGGGAACCCATTAAAATTGGAACGATACAGAGAAAATTACCATGGCCCCTGCGCAAGGATGACACGCATAAATCGAGAAATGGTCCAAATTAAAAAAAAAAAGAAAAAAAAAAAAGAAAAAAAAAAAAGAAAGGAAAGTTGTTTTCCGGGTTTCCCAGCTGCTCATGCAGAGTATTTCTGCTCAGTTGCGCATTTGAATTACTGATTTGAGAAATTTGAATGCTGTCAGGAGTCAGAACTTCCAGCTTTTGTTGTCTATCCCCCTGTTGTACGACTTGCTTCTACTTGCCCCCTTGATGTCTAATCTAAAACAAAACTCTATAGCTATTCAGGATTTAGATTGTCGGAAACGGTCGTCTTTGGTGGAATGTCTCCGTCGCTAGGTAAGTGACATGTAGCAGTCTTGCAAAGTCGACGTCGTGTGTTGCAGCCATCGATCGTCCGTTGTCGAACAGCCTCTCCTTCGGTGG